TTTTTTTTTTTTTTAGGAATAACGATCATGATGGTGAACTCGAATCATTTGATATAGAAATGGAAGATTCAATTTCAAATAACAATAATTTATCTACGACAGTAGATCATTTAGAAAACGAGAAATTTGAATCAATGTATATAGTAGATTCTCCATCAGATACTTGCGCCAGTAATACTACCGATGATACTATTTATACATCATCTCCTTCACCCGTTCTCCCTTCAACGACTACCTCGGCTATTCCAATTCCTTCTTCTTCTACTACTGCTTATACAGTTCCTTCTACAACTTCTTCAGATTTCGATTTCAATTTGACCGAATTTGGTTTCACTCAATCTCATAATGCGTTTAATAGAAGAAATTTCGTACCTGGAAAACCTTCCAATAATCATATTCGTCCTATTGCAATTCCTGTGTCTAGATCTAATAATAGTCCATCTCAATTTACATATAAAAAGGTTAGGAATATTATACTTTATTTTTTGATTGAAATTTTTTTTTTTTTTTTTTAACAACTTTTTTCTTTCATAATTGTAGAAACAGAAACCTACAAATTTCATTACTCCAGTTCCTCCAGTAAATCAAATATCAAGTATAACAATACCAAGTGATACTACCGATGATTCTGATACTGATTTACCAGATCCACAATTTACTTATGGTCCTGGACCTTATAGTGCAACATTCAATGATCATCAAAATTCTATGGATTATCCTGGAAATGCTTCAGTTCTTATGAGTTCTTCGGCCCCTCATTCTTTCAATTATTTTGATGAATTAGCAAGTCCTGGTGGTATGAATAATACAAATCCTTTAACATATCAATCAACTGCTAGTACTCCAATTACTCCGGTAGATAGCGGATTTTATTTCTCTTCTGATTATAATGGTACAGGTGATTTAAGTACAAGTGGAAATTCTTCATCAGGTTCATTATTCGATATGGTTAATATTTATTTTGTAAATACGAGTGGTGCTTCATTATCACAAAGCCCTTCATTATCTCATGTTAATCCATCTCAATTGCTAAGTTCATCACCTACATCCATTCCATATGACTTAATACCTGAATCCCTTTGTACTGAAGAATCTGATAGTAAGGATAAAATTTCAAATTCAATGGAATTTAATCAACGAGATTGGAATCATGATGGTAGTGATAATAATGGAGATGATGAAGATAATTCCTTACCTATTGGAATCAATAATGTAAATAATACTTCAAAGATAAAAAGACATTCAATGTCAGTATCACCTTCTAGAGCTGATATAAATAAGAACATGAACATTTCATCCTTATCAAGTAGTGAAGGATCAAGTACATCCACTGGTTTAATATCGCCGGGTAAGAGACCTAGATCATCATCCCGTGCATCTTTAACAAATACATCAGTAAATAATAATAGTTCTATAAAAAATATTAACTCATCATCATCACCTTCATCTCCCACGATACCTAAAGATGGTGGAAACAATAATAATAGTAATAGTAATAGTAATAGTAATTCTTCATCATCAAAGAATTCAATACCGACTACTTGCACAAATTGTCATACACAGACAACTCCTTTATGGCGACGTAATCCTGAAGGACAACCTCTATGTAACGCATGTGGTCTATTTTTAAAATTACATGGTGTTGTTAGACCTTTAAGTTTAAAAACTGATGTTATAAAAAAACGTAATCGTGGGGGTGCTGCTGCTGCTGGAAAAAATCCAAATAAGAATGGTGTTAAAGGTACTGTACAGATAGGTCATAGTGGTGCTAGTATGAGTGTGATGGGTAAGAGAGTGTCAATGACAAGTTCAATGAATTCCAGACATCAAGGTGGTTCTATGAATACACCTGCCTCAAATTCTGTTTTATCTACATCAGCTCCTACTGCTGCACATGCACATTATAATGGTGGTTTCGCTAGGCAAAGTATCCCAGGTGCTGTACCAAAAAGGCAAAGACGTTTTTCATCAAGCGATGAACAGCAATTATTAAATGCTCAAATTCATCATCAACCTCAAATAAGCGAAATCCATAATTTATTGAAACATGGTGGTTCAAATGGTTGCGAGCAACCACCATCTTTAGCCAGAGCTCAAACGAGGATGGCTAATTCAACCGCATCTTCAAATGGTTCACAACAGTCTTTACGTCAACTTCAATCAACATCAACATCCTCATCATCATCAATATCAAACTCTACATCAAAGACCGCAACTAAAGTGCAACCACGATTACACCGAGCTCATACGACAGCATCGATAATGAATCATCCGTCATCAAATAATAATCCATCATCGCCCACGTCCAATAGCACGGGAAATACGGGAAATAATAACAATAACAATAGTAATAGTAATAATAATTATAACAGTTGTTCATCATCTTCAACGAGACCTCGATCATTTTTACCGCCATCAGTATACATGTTTGCATGGCCTGATCATCAAATGGTTCCATCCGATGATGATATGATGATTGGATACTCCACGCGCCCTGGTATGTTAATTCAACATCAACCACAATCATCATTTAGTGATGATGAATCTGTTGGATCGGAAACGACCAGTAAAGAAACCGCTATGGATCTATATTAAATTTATTATTTGATAAAGGGATGAAGAGAAATTACTTTTCTTTTTTTTTGGACGATGGAATATTTGGATCAAATAAAATCTTCGCATCATTAAGAGACTTTGATTTCATTTTTATCGCGTAGATTCTTATTTGATTAAAATATGTTTTTTTTTTATTTTACGTTTTTTTAAAATTTATATTTTATGGGTAATGATTTCGTTTATTTTAAATTTGAGCATTATTATTTAAGCAAATAATAATTTGTCTTATTTAAAATAATTTCTATATATATGTTAACAAGCTTTGTTTGTTTGGTGTTTGAAAATATATATATTGTATGATAAATATTTATTTATTTTCTTTTTTTATTTTATTTTTTTTACTTTATTTTTTACGCTACATATTCTATCGTTTGAACAGAGTATTTCTGTTCTTTTTATATACATAATTATATTTTATATATACATGTATGTATATATAACTCATACCCCCAAGCATTAAAACCCCCTCCCATTTAAAAAAATTTTTTGTGAATATATAATTTTTTCATCCGATTTTTTATTTAACACGTTTCGTTCCCTGTATGAATCAATATAAATTTAGGTAAAAAAAAAAGAACTTTCCCAGAAAAAAAAAACTTTATATCATTTTTTTTAATATATATTACCTTTTAATGATTTTTTTTTTTTACCTTTATTTTTATTTTTATTTTAATTTTACTCTGATTTCATTCTTAATCTTTTAACTTAAATAAAATTTGCTTATTTATAACTTAAATTTAAATCAAAAAATAAATCAAAATTTATTAACTTAAAAAAGTAATTTTTAAGTAAATCAAATTTAGTATAATATAAATAAAATTATATTTTTTTCACTTTGATTTTATTCTTAATCTTTTTATCTTAAATTTTTTTTTAATAAAATTTGTTTATTTTATAACTTAAATTTAAATTAAAATGAATTAAATAAATTAAAAATTTATTAACTTAAAAAAGTAATTTAATAAATCAAAACTATAAATTAAAAGTCTAATAGTATAAGTATTTTTTTTAAAAAAAGTTTTACTTTGGTTTCATTTTTAAACTTATTTTTTTTAATAAAATTTATTTATTTTATAATTTAAAATGAATTAAATAAAATAAATTAAAAATTAACTTAAAAAAATAACTTAATAAATTAAATTTAAATTAAAAGTATAGTATTTATATTTTTTTTATTTTTATTTTAATTAAAAAGTTATTGATTTAAAAAAGTAACTTAATAATTTAAAATTTAAATCAAAAGTTATAATATAAGTTAAAATTATATTTTTTTTACTTTGATTTTATTTTTAATTTTTATTTTAATTGTAAATTTTATAATTTGAATTTGAATTAAATAAAATAAATTAAAAGTTCATTGTTTGATTTTATTTTTAATCTTTATTTTGATTGTTTTTTTAATAAAATTTTATAATTTAAATTTGAATTAAATAAAATAAATCAAAAAATTTATTGATTTAAAAAAGTAACTTAATAATTTAAAATTAAAAGTATTTTTTAAATAGTAATACTGGCAAATTTGCCTGCAATTTTGTAAAATAAATTATATACAAACACAAACTTTGTCAATATAATTTGAATTATCCTATAATTCTGCAATTATTTAGCATCAATTGTATGGTTTAATATAACATCAAAAATTTTATATAATAAATTGATTTTTTTTACCATAATATTCTGCTTTATTATAAAGCATTTTAATATGCTTATTTATTTTTATTATAAAACTTCAAATCCTAATGAACAAGATAGAAATAATAAAATTTAACTTTATGCATTTTTTTTATAAATTTACAAAAATATTTTTTTTAGAGTTCTATATAGTAAAGTCAAATTGCCAATTCTAAACATTAAAAATCATAATAATAAAAGTTGTTTCTCATAGCAAAATCTACATATTCTATTAAGCTTTAATATAGTCATATGAGATTGTTAAAGTTGAATGCAAAATTTTTCAAAATTTTTTATTATCTAAAAAATGCAACTTTTAACTAATAGTTAATCTTCAATCTTATAATATGAAATTAATAAATAATAATTATTGTCATATAAATTATGATTTAAGCTCTTTGCAAAAAAAAATTTTATTAAAATAACTTCATTTTTCATAAAATTAGATGAGAACTGAATTTTTAATAAAATTGCAGGCAAATTTGCCTTATCGTTTAAGAGATAATATAAGTTAAAATTATATTTTTTTTTACTTTAATTTTATTTTTAATCTTTTATTTTGATTGTTTTTTGAATTAAAATAAATTAAATAAATAATTACCTTTAATTATACTTCCTTAAAGGGCGTGCCAGAAATCAGCTGATTTCATTCAATTAGTAGACTGATCTTACTCATCCTTACCTAATCATCCAATTGATCATTTTGACCCTATGAAAAGTTTTTATACTTAAAATATACTTAAAATTTTATTAAAATATACTTAAAATAAATACCAATTTTAATTCACGATATACTTATAATATGCCTAAAATATGCCTAAAATACTCTTAAAATATACTTTTAATGTACTTGTTTTTTGCATAAGTACTTAAATTATAAACTCGTTGCATATATTTACCATTATTGTTAAAATCTGAGAAATCTATAATAGTTAAATCTCCATCGATAGTACTAATATAGCAAGATTTAAAATAGTCAATTTTTAGCGAATTACATGGATATTATTTGCCTGCTTTTTTACATATATATTGTATATATTCTGACAACAATATTATTATTTATTTTGCTAATATGGGAATTTGCTAGACATTTTAATATAAGGGGCCAATAAAGCTCTAAATGGTTAGGTTAAAAAGTAACTCAGGACCAGACTGAAAAATTGCTTCATTTCGGTCTGATTTGGATTATGTTAAAAAGACAATTCAGGATCAGACCAGACCAGACCAGTTATTTAATTCAGTCCAGTCTATACATGAAGTCAAAATTAAAGCCTAAAAGTAGAAATATTTCGACTTGGGAAGGTCAAAAGTCAAAATTAAAGTCGAAATTACATCATAGTCATGTGATTTTTATAATTATAATTTAATATAAAATTTTAAACGTGAATAACTTCGTCAGTATTGATCCTACAGATATGAAATACATATCATTGGAATCCTCTTGATGAGCTAAATCCAACCGCATAAAGATCATAAAAATTGAATCACTGGATGTGGAGGTCGTTAACTTTGAATTTTAAAATTATTGTTTACTATAAAAATTATAAGACTATTTAATACCAAATTATAAACGTGAATAACTCAGTCAATATTAATGCTACAAATATGAAATACATATCATTGGAATCCTCTCGATGAGCTGAATCCAACTGTGTAAAGACCATAAAAATCGAATCACTGGATGCGGAGTTCATTAACTTTGAATTTTAATATTATTGTTTACTATAAAATTATATGACTATGACATAATTTCGACCATTTCGACTTTTAGAGGGGCTCAAGTCGAAATCATTTCGACCATTTTGACCATTTCGGAGGTCAAAATTAACCAATTTCAGTTTCATGTATAGTCTGGTCTGGTCTTATAATAAAAAATCTGAAATTCTGATTGGCTGTTATAATATCATGTGACCAAAATTAAAATTTTTACCAAAATTATAACTGTATTAACTGTATTCTAACAATCTACCTGATATATGTAGCTTCGATTTAAACCTATATTCTCTTTGTATAATATATATACTATATAAGGAAATTATGCGTCTTTATGCACTAATATTATACAAAGTGAATATAGGTTTAAAACGAAACTACACATGTCAGAAAGATCACTATAGAACTGGAATTATGAAATTAAAATACAAATAAAATTTTGGCAAATTTTTGATCTGGTCTGATCTCAACCCGTTTAATTTAGTCTGGGTTAGATTTATAATCCTGGACCAGACTGAATTAAACCAAATATTTCAGTCTGAATTGAAGCATCAATCCAGATTGGACCAATCCTAATTTTCAGTCTGGATTGCCAGACTAGGTCCAGACTGGTTAGAGCTTTAGGGACCAATCTCTATAAGTAATGATTCTATAGTCTTACTGATGTAATTTTATAAAAGTAACTATATATGCTACAATATTTAGTGATTATATAACTGGTATTTCTTTTTTTTTACCCAAATTCTAGAATGATAATAATCATATTTCTTATACCCTGTAGCCTATTTGGTTAGATATTCTTTAATATATTTTTGAGCGATATTTTCATTATATATTTTTTTAATGCAGTCGGTATATTCATCAGTATGCAAATCATATTCTTTTTGAGTTAGAGGATTTATTTTCCTTTCAACTAATGAAAGTATATTTAAATATTTCTTTCTATCAGAAATACCATTATTTTTCACCATATTTCAAACTTGTTAGATAACTTTTGCATTATCAATTAAATGATTGATATACCTTTTCCTATTTTCATATTCATATGCATAACTAAATTTAGCCTAGCATTTACTGAATATAAAACCAAATGTTTAATAAATATTTTCAATCTCGTCATTACTTAGTTCTGATATTACTCATTTTTTCACATTTTTTTGTATAGGATTAGAATATATAATATGCCATTTGGCTGTTATAACAAATAATAATACATTTTTTCAGATGATTCTTGTCACATTCAATGGTATTTTCACAAATAATTACTAAGGAGTCACATGTAAAGCTCTAAACAGTTCAGTTCAGTTCCATTTTTCAGTTCTTTTCTGATTGGTCAGAATCCGTTTTGCACAATAACTTGCCTTTCAGTGATCGTAGAAACCCGATCAATAGTACGTTGGAATCATTTCATCGAAACGGTTTGAATGGTACTAAATCATCTTTCTAGCATCGATAGATGGTGAGTTATTTTTTGAAAAATTGGTAAAATCAACTCGCCATCTATTAATACTAGAAAGATGATTTTAGTACCATTCAAACCGTCTCGACATGACGATTCCAACGAGCTATTGATTGGATTTTTACAATCACTGGAAGGCAAGTTATTGCACAAAACAGATTCTGATCAATCAGAAAAGAACTAAAAAATGGAATCAAACTGAACCATTTGGAGCTTTAGTCACATGCAGTGCAATAAATATGAAATGAGCATCTCCTAGCTTTAAATTCTCTATCTTTATATGATCTTTCAATCATTTGAATAAATCCATTCTTGGAGAAGTATTTTGGATTATATTCAAAAAGTTTCTTAAATAGATAATGAATACGAAAATACCACATTTCTGGTATTACTTATATTGCAGATTGTTCAACGCCTGCACTACTACAGGATTTAAACTAATAGTTAGTTTTAACCATTGTACAGATGTAGGGAGTTTATAGTGATTTTATCAATTATAGCAGGTTTTATCAACTTATATTATGATAAAGTATGATTCAAATTTATTATACAGATTTGGCCAGAGTTAGATAATGCACAGATGAGCAAGAAAAAAATGTTGTCTGCATAAGTGAAATCATTTTCACATAAACATTTATTATTCTGATGCGTATAAAAAACTAGCATACACAGTTAAAAGATAAAGCATATCAATTACCGTGCATGTAATATGCAAATTATTTTTATATTAAAAAAAATTCATTTAACCATGTTTGAGTCACTTCATTTTATGATAAACCATCAATTTTAATATGTAACTCCCATACAAATTAAGCAATTTGATAGAATATCATATGCTTTACTAGTCTCTAAAGTTAATTTTCCATTTTTGAAATTTTTTTTTTCTCTTCGCATATACAAGAAATTTACATTAAAAAATGAACTTTTTTTGAGATCCTTTTAAAAGTTTGGATAAATATATAGTTTTAATAGTAAAAATATATGTAATTTTGCAAGAGAAAAAAGATTTTCTAAGGTTTAATGGTAGTTATTCAGGTAGTTTTTATATAAATACAAAAAAATTGATTTTTTAATAAAAAAAAGAATTTTTACTTCAATAAATTTTAATGAGAATCCTTTAACTAATAATAAATATTTTATTTTTAGGTGTAACTTTTCAAAAAAAACAACTTTTATTAAGTTAATAAGGTCGGTTACCCAATAAGATTTTTGTTTATTATTGAATTTATCAAATTTTCTCTATTTTTTAATATGAAATAATGATAAAATTTTATTTATTATAGAAAAAAAAGAAGGGAAGAGTATTATTAGATTTATTTTTGAATAATATATTTGTTTTAAATTAAAAAAAAACTACAAAATTTTCATTATTTTTAGTAAATCCACTTTTGTCCAATCATGTTTTAATATTAGATTCCTATTTATTTCATCACGAAATTTTTTTATTTTAATATTCAAATTGTTTTTTAAATTAGAAAATAGTTTGTTTTGTAATTAAAACCATTGAAATAATAAAGAATTTATAATACTATTATACAAATATAATGAAAAAAAGGGAAATTTTTCTTTATAGATTCTGGGTTTATTTGAAAATTTATTTGAGTTAATATTTTTTTAAGTTTTTTTTTGTTATAAAATTATATAAAATACTTTCTGTCTTAATTTGGAGTTTTAAATTATTTACTATATTTGACAAATTTCAAGTTTTTCTCATTATTCCTTATTTTTAGCAAATAAAATGTACCAACTTCTAGTTAAGATCCACCTTAAAAAACAAAAAGTATTTGAAGAAATTTTTCAACACACTCTTAGATGTTGTCAAGAAGTATTATTTTCTATATTTAGTTTGAAAGTTATTTTATATAAATGTGATGTTACATTTGAACTGCATTTTTCAATTTTTATAAAATTTAGGCCGGCATTATAAAATTAGCCGGAATTAAGCAAAATTTGGCCAGAATTATGGATTCGAAAATCATCAATTTTAACCAATAAAATTTATTTTAGCCGATTTTGATCTACATACATAAACTATATAATTAATAACTATACGGCACCATAATTTTTAATATGGCTATCATAATAAGAAAAATTTGCCCTTAAATTTTATTACATGCGCAGTGATTGATATCAAAAGTTCCGATATAATAAATGTTTTTTTTTGCACAGTTACACACCAACACTACCCAGAAAAATATTAAAAAGATAAAGCTGATGTGGTCAAATTCTTTCTAGACCATTACCTATCTACTAACTACTAAATTTTCGTGCTAAATTTCTAAAATTAATATACAGTATAAAGGTATACATATTTTGCAACACTATGAACGATCAAATACCTATCTTTTTAATACGAACTATAACTTCAGTTCAATTTCCAGAGCATATTGTTTGATACGATTAACCCAAGGTGGTACTTTCTTAAGAACAGTTCTCTTTGTGGTGTGTAAAGCTTGTTCTTGGTAGGAATTATACACTTCCTTCGGTAAAACAAAATAGAATTTGATATCTGAATTATCGGCCTTATTAACATATTTTTCCAGCCCATGCTTGATGATAGGATGACTTTCAGCAACAGTCATCTGGAAGAACGTGTCGGGAAGAACAAACGCATCAAAGGACGCGTTGTTCTTTTGAGTTGGAATACAGTACCTGTTAGGAACAACCTCATCAACTGTACTGAAAACCAATTTGTCCCATTTGGGTATTGGTAGTTTGGAGTTATTCATCCCGAAACAAGAGACAGTCGTTGCAAATAAAGGACGAGTCCTAAATGATCCTCCTTCTAGTAACTTTCTGTGAGCGATCCGCTCAGATATAGTACCCCGAAGTGTAGCGTAATCATTTAGTGACGAGCTAGCTTCCACGAAATTCTGCAATTGATTCCTTGTAATTCTTTATGAGGTTATCCATTACCTTTTCAGAAACATAATCTGACGCAAACTCCAGAGTGAACGTTGAATAGGAGGGTATTCCTTCAACACCTTTTCCTGCAACACCTTTCCCTTTGTCTGGTCTAGTTACTTTGGGAGCGCTTGACAAAGAGGACTCTCCAACTACTTCTTCCTCTTCTTCTACTTCCTCTCCTTCTTCTTCCTCTCCTTCTTCCTCTTCTTCATTTTCTTCTACATTCGTGCGGATATGGACGATTTTGTGACTAGAATTATTGTCATCTGTCGTTTCACCAATAAAATTTAATATTTTATCATTAACTGAGTTAATCGCCATTTGAAGAAAAGCTTGCTGACCATCATTAAGAGCATAAAATAAGGTATATCGAGGAATTCCGCCCCATTTATTGTATAATTCCCGAACATGTTCTTGAGTAAGATTACGGAAAAGTATACCCCTACATAGATCAATCTCTGCCCAAGACCATACCGGCATGTACCGAATAGTTACTCCAAGCTTATCAAATTGACTATAATGACTCTTCTGAGGCGAACAGATAAGAATTGTCTTGGCGACATATTCCATCGGTTCCCTACCGTCCACGATATACCAAACTTCTTCATTTGCCAAGTATCTTTTTAACGCGTGAATATTATCTTCGGGGTAACTAAAAACACCATTTTCGCTGAAGAGCATTGGAGGCTTTTTGAGTTTGTGATATACAACTGTTTTACGTTGTTTTGCAAGGAAATAAAGTAGGTAAAAACCGAAGAAGGTTTTTCCAATTCCCGGATTGCCGGTAATACGCCAACGACGGACATGGTTATTCTTAGAAATCATTTTATACAGATCTTTATAACATTTACGGATGAACAAAGTGGATATATTGAAACCTTGTTCATCTTTGCCTAAAAGATAGTAAACATCTTCGGATAAATCAAGAACCTTGCTACGACCATGCTTCTCGACTTTTCCATGCTTTAAAGCATCCCAAGACTTTTTCAATTTTTGATCATCGATATCGTATTTTATTCGTTTATTAGGATATTCTATATTTCAAAAAATTATTTGAAATAGCGCAGACAGAAAATGAAACGACATTCGGTATTATTGGCGAGTACAAACACATTTTCTATTTTGTGACATACCAGAAGTCAACAAATTCCTCAAGTATGTAAGCTTAACTTTATCATTTTTGCTCTTAGTAAGCGCTTTTTCTACACTAGGTAATTTTTCGGGATCGTTGAAATACGTGAATAAATCAGCTACTTCTTTCTCAGTAAGTTTCTCATCATCCAAGATTTCGAAAAGGCGATTAACCTCGTCATAGACATCAAGAGTAACCATACTGGTTTTTTTGTGTAAAAAAAGTTTCACAGGTTTTTTGAAAAAAGAGGTGATTTGTAGTTATACAGTATAAGGTATTTATATTGGAAATCGATTGTCGCACAGATTGATCTTGACTCATTAGTTACGCAACTGACTTAATAGAGATATTTGTCAAAAAGTCATGCTTTACAATACTTCATATAAAAAAAGTGAGTCTCATACAGTATCAGGTGATAAGCGAGAAGAATATTTATTAATACATACAAGAGTTGAAAGAACAAATACAAGCGCAAGAGTACACGATACAGCTTCTATGCTAAAATTGCGAACTTGAGTTTATTGCTTGAAGTGTTGCAGGTAAGACAATATTCCAACTTATCTTGGGAATACAAATCCACTACTTCTGTACGTATCTCAGGTTTATAATTTGCAAATTAAGAATTGTATCATATAATCTACAGTGCTCAGCTAATATTACGTGTAATTCGTGTAATTCTAATATGTTCCTCTGCGAGTTACATAAAATATTCAAGATAATCTAATTCATTTTCATTTTATTTATGGAACTCCGCGTTCATTATTCAAACGAAAGTACTTGTACAACATATGACTTTGTAAATTATAATTAGCCCTATAAAAAATTTTATCCGTTATTTCTGTAAAACTCCGTAAAATGACCTTTCGCGGATCTATACACGGAAAATGTAAATAACTTGATAAATTCCGTGATATAAGGCTATTAATTCTGGAATTATGAACCTTTTACGGAAAAAAGACGGAATATAAAAAAGGGATCGACTTTTATTAAAGGGTAGTTAAATTCTTAAACAAATAATAGATAATCTTTCAAAATAAGAAATTACTGTTTGGAACTTTATAATCAAAATTTTTATATAAAATTGACCTTTTTTTGCCGAAATCAATCTATTTTTTATCATATAAAAAATGATTTTCAGATCTAATTTTCCTGATGTCGATATTGAAAAAATCGGAATTTATCAATTTATTACTAGTAATCCTTATGGAATTGATGATGATAAAGTTATTTTTATTGATGGTATAACCGATAAAAAATTAACATTCGGTCAACTTAAAACTAATTCAAAGAAATTGGCATTTGGATTGAAAAAAAAAGTTGGTTTTAAACATGGAGACTCATGGAGACGTTTTGGCAATATGTTCTCATAATCATGTAAGTGATAGCTATTCCGTGGTATATTATAAAATAAATATTATAACTTTTTTTTCTTTTTCTTTTTCTTTTTTAGATCGATTATCCGGTAGTTATCTTTGGTGAAATTGCAGCTGGTAAATAAAAGTTAACATAAAAAAGATTTAAGGATTTTCTTTAGTTCTTTAGTTCAAAATTTTTAAAACTTATATTTAGGAGGAATAGTAACAACGGTTAATCCAGATTATGAATATGAAGAATTCGCCTCTCAATTAAAAGATTGTGGTGCATCTGTTATTATATGTCATCCTGTTTATCTCAGCAAAACTATCGAGGCCGCAAAAGCAGCAAATATTCACGAATCAAAAATATTTTTATTCGACGAAAACGAAATCCAGGGACTTCAACCTTTCTTATCCTTATTTTCTAATCAAGAAATTAATCCAGTAGAATATACACCGGAGGAAGCAGAATCAACTACAGCATATTTATGTTATAGTTCTGGTACTACAGGGAAGAGTAAAGGAATTGAAAACACACATTTTAATATGGTTTCAAATTTAACACAAATAAATGTTTTTGAAGACCAAATAAATCATGAAAATATTTTTATGGGATCTCACGTAAGTAATAGTTCTTTTTTTTTGTTTTTAAAACACGTACTTATAACGCTTTATTAGATTATAATTTTTTCAAAATTAGGATTTTTTCCATATATACGGATTAACCTTTCTCGTACACTTTGTTATTATTAAGGTCTATACAAAAGTTTTGTCTTCATTCTTTCTGTCACGAACTAATTTATTTTTTCTTCTCGCATTTTTAATTTTCGATTTTTTTTTCCATTACAATTTCAAGGGAGCTTCATGTGTTATCCTTTGCAAATTTAAATTTGAATTGGAAACATTTTGTCGTATAATTCAAGATTATAAAGTAAATATAGCTCCAATTGTTCCTCCTATAATTTGGCTCTTAGTTAATAAGATCAATTTAATAAAAGGTATTTAAAGTAGACATAATTTTCCGTTGCTTTTACTGTATAGATTTTATCATTATTGTATCTACTCGCTATTGTTTAATTTTCATAACCTTATTCATTATTTTAAACAACCATTGTATTTAAATTTTACCTATACTTTACCCTATAGAGAGAAAATATGATCTATCAAGTTTAAAATTAATTATAAGTTCTGCTGCTCCTTTGAGTGGAGATTTATGTAAAGAATTTGTTGAAACTTATAACGTTCCAATCAAGCAAGCCTATGGTATATATTTGGAACTAATACATTTTTTCTTTTATACTCGAAATTTAATATTTTCTTCTTTTCTTTTAGGCTTAACTGAAGCAACTCCATTTGCAACTGCGACGAAAACTCATGAAATTGTCGATGGTAGATTGAGAGATAACATGATCTTTTTGTTATTCGCGATATTTAAGTATTTACCTCAATTTTCATCATAATTTTTTTTTGTTAGGCTCGATTGGAATTCTCATTCCAAACATGGAATGTAAGGTAATTTCAGAAAATAATAAAGGTAATTGTTATTTTATTATTTATGATAAAGTAAAGACAATTAAAAAAAAAATAAAAAAATTCAATTTATTAATAGAACTTGGATATAATAAATCTGGTGAATTTTGTTTTCGAGGACCAAATATTATGAAGGTAATTTTTTATAGTTTAAAATCAATAAAACAAAATTAGATGTATATGTTTACATATACGGTATATATATTTATTTTATATTAATATAGGGTTATCTTAATAATGAAAAAGCTACGGATACGTGTATTGATAGTGATGGTTGGTTCCATACTGGAGATTTTGGATTTGTTGATCCTCAAGGTATAATATATTTATCTAAAAAAAAAAAAAATTTTAAAAAAAAATTTAAAAAAAAAACCAATTTGTCTTGTAGGAAACTTTTTTATTGTCGATCGCTTTAATGAATTAATTAAATATAAGGTAAGCCGAAACAAATAATCAATTATCAATCTATGTTAGATGCTTTTCTAAAAAAAACTTGTGATAAATATAGGAATTTCGAATTATTCCTACTGAACTTGAATCAATTTTGCTTACTCACTCATCAATTAATGATTCCGCCGTAATTGGTATATATTCTGATGAACAAGAAACTGAATATCCGTTAGCATATGTAGAATTAAAACCAGATAAAATTCAATCTGATCAGTTAAAAGAAGAAATTAAGGATTTTGTCTCTCAAAAAGTTGCTCCGCATAAAAAATTGCATTGTGTTCATTTTATCGATAAAATTCCAAAGAGTTCTGCTGGTAAAACTTTAAGAAGATCATTAAGAGCTAAAAATGAATGTGTTAAGCAATGTTTATTGTAACATTGTAAAGGTTTCTAATTTATATTTTAATTCAGTAGTATTTCATTTATGATTGATTATTATTATATTCAAAATCATTAATAAAATCACTATTCCATCCATTATCAATTCAAAATTAATGACACGAATCTTGGATTAATTTTATTCTCGGGAAATGCTGATTCGCTGTAGTATTTGCTTGGAAATGTTTTTTAGGCTATTATCTATTGTACAAATAATAATATGCGTGGTTTTATTCATAAAACGAAAAAATAAATGTTTCGTAACTTTTTTTATAGTGATTCCATTGTTCTACGTGCATTGTTTTGATATCTGGGATGATATGTAGATATGCACACTTTTTTCTTTATATATACGCTAGAGGACAAAAAATAAAGTCCATTTGCCCGTTATCGCAGGTCTGTTTGTCGCGTGGAGTATTTAGCATGAATGTCGATCATTTGTCACATTATGTGATTTATGTCACGCCCTCAACTTTTCATTTTTATTAAGTATTACGCGTATTCCCCCAATTTAACTTTTTTTTATTAGGCTCGTGAAATGTATGATAATTTCAAAAGATTAAAAAATTCGATTTATAGCAAAATTTGGATATAATGATGGTTTAAAAATCAATGATTAAATTAAATCATATATATACAGTATATATATTTACCGTATTTTTATATTAATATAGAAGTTACGAATACGTGTGATCTTGTAGAAAACTTTCTTTTTATCGGTCGCCTTAATGAATCAATTAACTATAAGGTAAACCGAAGCAAGCAATCAATATCAATCTCTTTTAAGATGTTCTTCTAAAAAACATAATAAATATAGTAACAGCAAGTTTCTCCAGTCGAACTTGAATCAGTTCTGCTTGATAAGTGATAACTCGTCAATTAGTGATTCCGCCGTAATTGGTAAATACTCCAGCTGAATATCCATTAGCATGAGTAGTATTAAAACAAAATAAAATTCATTCTGATCAGTTAAGAGAAAAAATTAGAGGTTCACATGAAAGATTACTTGTTGGTGTTCATTTTATTGATAAAATTCCTCAAACCCGCTAGTAAAATATTGATAGGATTATTAAGAGAAAGAGCTAAAAATGAATGTATTTAAGCAATGTTTATTGTAACAATGTAAAGTGCCAAAATATCTCATTCCTAATTTATATTTTTAATTCAATATTGTTTTTTTATTAATTTTGATTGATTATTATTATTAACAGTTACAATTCCATCTATTACCAATTCAATTTTCCAAGTCAAGGGCTTATTTTATTGTATTTGCTTGGAAATATTTTGTGCAATTATCTACTATACCAATAGTAACATGCATTGTCTTATTCGTAAAACCAGCATCTGATGGATCAATTTTATTAACATAATTCGTGAACCGAAAGCTATATTATCAATATGTCAAATTAATTTACAAATTGTATATTTGGAATTTAGTTATAAATAGCTAAAATGTATAAAATATCTAAAAATTAAAACAAATTTTTCGAAAGTTTCATTAATGAGTGATTACATTGTTTGATGCTTGTGAACTTAATGTAAGTATACGTATATATGCACACAATGTTTTTATTAAATTTACGCCAAGGACAAAAAGGAAAGATCTAGATAATTTTACTAGTCATATGAAAGGAAAATTTATGACTTTTTTATTGATTTAAATGAATTTGTATCTAACTTGAACAGTGTTACAAAAAAAGGTGTAATTCATACATGTAATTCCGGGGAACTGATTATCTTCATCTTTTGATAGATGGATTCTATGGCAATTTGTTTTATGCCTAAAGAAACAGACTTAAATTATACTTAAATTTTTAAATTATATCTAAAATTGCAATTTTAAATACAATTTAGGGAATGTGTAATGAGTTGCGACATTATCATCCAAACACACATTAACTTCAACGCGCTCCGAGTCTGATAAAATCAATAATATATTAGATGAAATTTTTATATAATTGACCTCTTTTCGTAGGAATCAAACATATTTAATTTATACATACTGTATATAAAAATGATTTTCAGGTACAAGTTTTCTGATGTCGATATTAGAAAGATCGGAGTTTATCAATTTATTACTAGTAATTTTTATGAAATTGATGATGATAAATTATTTTTATTGATGGTAATACCAATAAAAATTAACATTCGATCAACTTAAAGCTAATTCAAAGAAATTAGCATTTGAATTGATAAATAAAAATCGGATTTAAACGTCGAAATGTTTTGGCAATATATTCTCATAAGTGCCTATCTTTGGATTTATAAAATAAATTTTTAAAATAAATCTTTATAATTTTCCTTTTTCCTTTTTCTTTTTTTAGATTGAGTGGAGTTGAAATCACGCACTATAATATGGTTTAAAATTTAACTCAAATCGATGTCTTTGAAGATCAAATAACCATGAAAATGTTTATATAAGAACTCTAGTAAGTTATAATAATTAATTTTTTGGGTTGGAACACGTACTTATGTACTTTACTAATTACATAATTTTCGAAATTTAGCCTTTCTTCCATATATACGGATTGACCCTTCTTGCACACCTTGTTATTATTAAGGTATATAAAAGTTTTGTCTTCATTCCTTCTGCGAGCTAATTTATTTCCTTCTCGCATTTTTTGGTTTTTCGATTTTTTCTTTCCATTGTAATTTCAAGGGAGCTTCATGTGTTATCCTTCATAAATTGGAAACATTTGGTCGTACGATTCAAGATTATAAAGCAAATATAGCTCCAATCGTTCCCCTATAGTTTCGCTCTTGGTTATTAATCCTATAGAGAGAAAGTATTATCTATAAATTGGCTATAAGTGCTGCTGCTCCTTTGAGTAAAGATTTATGTAAAAAATTTGGTGAATTCCAATCAAACAAGCTTACGGTACGTATTTTGAACTAATATTTTTTTACCCGAAATATTGTTTTGCTTATATTTTTATTATTTCCTTCTTTTCTTTTAGGATTAACCGAAACAACTCCATTTGTAACCACGACGAAAACCGATAACATTATCGACGGTAAATTGATTTTTCATGTGATTTTTCGTTATCGGTGAATTTTGTTTTCGGGGACCAAATATTATGAAGGTAATCTTTTTTATGAATAAAATAAAATTAAATATATACGTTTCAATTATATGGCATATTCATTTATTTATATTTATATAGGGTTATTTTAATAATAAAGAAGCTACGGATGCGTGTATTGATTGGTTACATACCGGAGATTTGATCCTCAAGGTATAATACCTATATTTATCTAAAAAAAATAATTTTAAAATAATTTTATAAAAAAAACCAATTTGTCTTGTAGGAACTTTTTTATTGTCGATCGCGTTAAGGAATCAAGGTAAACTGGAAACGGATAATTAATTATCGATCTCTTTTAAGATGCTTTTCTAAAAAAACTCATGATAAATATTGGAATTTCGGAATATACGTTAGCATATGTAGAATTAAAATCAGATAAATTCAATCTGATCAGTTAAAAGAAGAAATTAAAGATTTTGTCTCTCAAAGGGTTGATTCGCGTGAAAAACTGCATTGTGTTCATTTTATCGATAAAATTCCAAAGAATTCTGCTGGTAATACTTTAAGAAAGATTATTATGAGAAAGATCTAAAAATGAATGTACAATATTTAAGCAATAACATTGTAAAAATTCCTGATTTATATTTTCAGTAGTATTTTTTTTAATTCATTTATAATTGATTATTATTATATTTAAAAATCACTATTCCAATTCAAGGACTAATTTCATTCTCAGGCAATGCTGTTAATGAATTTTATATATAAATTTATTAGTACCCATAATCTGGAGCCGAAATGTAATTACTGGTGCAGTTTTATTATAATTTTGAACTTTCAAAAAGTACCAAACAAATTCCTGACTTTCTGATTATCTTTCATTAGTGAAAAATTATGAGGATATCTTCAAAATTGCAAATTTTAAATAAGAGCTGGAATTATGAAATTAGGCATTTTCATTAAATTTTACTATTAAAATGTCGGTTGGAGATTAAGTATACTGTATTTTTCACAATCAGTGCTGGACGTATGGCAATTAGAAATATTATAATATGGGTTAGATCTGCTTTTCTTAATTACAAATAAAATAGGCGGCTGTCATTTGTTCTTTATGAGTTTTTTACTATTAAGTAGTCTTGAAATTTTGCAAATGTGAATAAGCTCATCAGTACTTCTATATTCATTAGCTTAACAAATGGCGCAGTAAAAATTTGTAGAGGGTAGCATTTAAACACTTTATCACGTGTATATGTATAAATAAATGTCGATCCTATTCTATATGCACTAACACGTGATCATTTACAATTGTGTTACATTACCGGTTAGTAATAAATTTGATGAAAATCCTTTCATTTTTATTCTTAAATTTACTTAAAAATTTTAAATATAATAAGTATAATTTAAATACATTTTAATTGTAAAACATTTACACTTAAAATATACAATTTTAAGTGTGTATTTTAAGTTTCAAGTATATTTTAAAATTTAAGTATATTTTTAGTATACTTTAAGGAAATTTTTTTATAGGAAATGCGATATTTTCATTCAAACATACATGAACTTTAACGCGCTCCGAGACTGATAAATATTAGTACATAATTGATGACAACAAACTAATCCAAATCCTTGCGTTCATTTAGTACTGTACACCATATGTATGTCTAAATTTTAGTAGATTTTAAGAAATCTCATTAAGGAATTTATAATGATAAGAAAAATTACTTTGTAAGATTTCACGGGGATAGATTTTATAGATGAAGTTTTTATATAAAATTGACCCCTTTTCGCAGGAATCAAATCAAATATATTTGTAATTTATACATATAAAAATGATTTTCAGATCCAAATTTTCTGATGTTGATATTAAAAAAATTGGAGTTTATCAATTTATTACTAGTAATCCTTACGGAATTGATGATGATAAAGCTATTTTTATTGATGGTAATACCGATAAAAAATTAACATTCGGTCAACTTAAAACTAATTCAAAGAAATTCGCATTTGGATTGATAAATAAAATCGGATTTAAACGTGGAGATGTTTTGGCAATATATTCTCCCAATCATGTAAGTGATACCTATCTGTGGTATAATATAAAATAAATTTTTATATAATTCTTTATAATTTTTTTCTTTTTCTTTTTCTTTTTCTTTTTTTAGATTGATTATCCAGTAGTTATCTTTGGTGCAATCGCAGCTGGTAAATAAAAGTTACAAAACAAAGGTCTAGGTAATTTTCGAATTTTTTAACTTTTTTTTTTTTTAGGAGGAATAGTAACATCGGTTAATCCAGAATATACATCTGAAGAATTTGCCTTTCAATTAAAAGACAGTGGTGCATCTGTTATTATATGTCATCCTGATTATCTTGAAAAAGCTATCAAGGCCGCAAAAGTAGCAAATATTCCCGAATCCAAAATACTTTTATTTGATGAAAATGAAATCAATGATTTTCTACCTTTCTTATCCTTACTTTCTGATCAAGAAATTAATCCAGTAGAATATACACCGGAAGAAGTAAAATCAACTACTGCTTATTTATGTTATAGTTCCGGTACCACAGGAAAAAATAAAGGAGTTGAAACCACGCACTATAATATGGTTTCAAATTTAAGTCAACTCGATGTTTTTGAGGATCAAATAAATCATGAAAATGTTTATATAGGAACTCTCGTAAGTTATAACTAATTTTTGGGTTGGAACACGTACTTAATGTGCTTAACTAATTACATAATTTTTTCGAATTTAGCCTTCCTTCCATATATACGGATTGACCCTTTTTATACACTTTGTTATTCTTAAGGTATATAAAAATTTTGTCTTCATTCCTTCTGTCACGAGCTAATTTATTTTCTTCTCCCATTTTTTGGTTTATCGGTTTTTTATTTTTCATTGTAATTTCAAGGGAGCTTCATGTGTTCTCCTTCGTAAATTCGAATTGGAAAAATTTTGTCGTGCGATTCAAGATTATAAAGTAAATATAGCTCCAATCGTTCCCCCTATAGTTTTGCTCTTGGTTAATAATCCTATAGCGAGAAAGTATGATCTATCAAGTTTAAAATTGGCTATAAGTGCTGCTGCTCCTTTGAGTAAAGATTTATGTAAAAAATTTGTTGAAATTTATAAAGCTCCGATCAAACAAGCTTATGGTACGTATTTGAACTAATATTTTTTTACTCGAAATATTGTTTTGCTTATATTTTTATTATTTCTTTTAGGATTAACTGAAACAACTCCATTTGCAATCGTGGCGAAAACTGATAACATTGTCGATGGTAAATTGAGTTGTCAGAGTTGTCATGTGACTTTTCGTTAACGAAACGCGTATTTCCTAAATTTCATCTTCTTTTTTTGTTAGGCTCAATTGGAATTCTTCTTCCAAACGTGGAATGTAAGATAATTTCAGAAAATAATAAAGGTAATTATTATTATTTACTATTTATAACAATAAATCTAAAGTAAAAACAGGCTAAACAAAAATTCGATTTATTATAGAACTTGAATATGATGAAGAAGGCGAATTTTGTATTCGAGGTCCAAATGTTATGAAGGTAAATTTTTTTTTATGGTTTAAAATCAATAAAATAAATTAAATATATACGTTTACGATATATGCAATTTATATAGGGCTATCTTAATAATAAAGAAGCTACGGATGCGTGTATTGATAGTGATGGCTGGTTCCATACTGGAGATTTGGGATATGCTGATTCTCAAGGTATAATATATTTATCTAAAAAAATATAATTTTAAAATAAATTTTTAAAAAAAAACCAATTTGTCTTGTAGGAAACTTTTTTATTGTCGATCGCGTTAAAGAATTAATAAAATATAAGGTAAACTGAAAACGGATAATTAATTATCGCTCTCTTTTAATATCCTCTACTAAAAAAAACTTGATAAATATAGGGATTCCAGGTGGCTCCAGCTGAACTTGAATCAGTTTTGCTTACTCATCCATCAATTATTGATTGTGCTGTAACTGGTATATATTCTGATGAACAAGCAACGGAATATCCGTTAGCATATGTAGTATTAAAACAAAATGAAATTCAATCTGATGAGTTAAAAAAAGAAATTAAAGATTTTGTCTCTCAAAGAGTTGCTCCGCATAAAAAATTGCGTGGTGGTATTTATTTTACCGATAAAATTCCTAAAACTCCTGCTGGTAAAATTTTGAGAAGATTTTTAAAAGAAAGAGCTAGGAATGAAAGTATTTAAGAAATATTTATTGTAACATTGTAAAGGTTTCTAATTTATATTTTTAATTCAGTAGTGTTTTCTTTTTGTTCATTTTATGATTGATTATTATTATACTTAAAATCATTAATAAAATCACTATTCCATCTATTATCAATTTAATTTTTTAAATTAATGACAAATCTTGAACTAATTTTATTTTCAGGGAAATGATTTTTATGCTATTATCTACCGTACAAATAGTAATACTGTATGCATGGTTTTATTCGTAAATGAAAAGTAAATGTTTCGGAAGTTCAATTGTTGTGCATGCGTTGTATACTTTGATACCTGTGATTAGTGATGTTTTTGGAAGGCTTTCAATGACTTTTTATCGGAATTGGACCTTCCAATTCTTCCAATTCCAACATTTCAATAATATTATCTTACTTACATATAATATATATGTAAATCTATGGTATTGGAACTGAAGCTTTCAATAGAAATTTTATTGGGTTGGAAGGTTGGAATTTGGAAGAATTGGAAGTTTCTAATAGCTCCAGTGCACATCGCTGCTTATGACGTAGATGTGCACACTTTTTTCTTATTTATATAAGCGAAGACAAAATATGTAGGTCTTTCTGCTTGTCACGTGGAACATTTAAACTGTAACTTGAATTTTGAATCTGAGGATAGAAAACTGCGTGGTTTTATTAAATTAAAGAGGTTTCGTTAGTCCGGAGTGTAACGAAGGACTATATATTATTGTGCAAAGTAATCAATAATAAGGTCACATAATCGATGAATTTATAAAAATCTCATGTGAAATTAAAGTTTTATAAATATTTATATAAATTAACTTCTTTTTGCAAAGAATAAATCGTATTTTATAGTAGAACAAAAATGATATTGATAAGTTATTTTTATTGATGGTATTACCGATAAAAAGTTAACATGCATTTGAATTGATAAATAAAGTTGGGTTACGTGAGGACATTTTGGCAATATATTCTCCCAATCATGTACCCGTGGAATAACAAAATAATTTTTAGAAATAATTATTTATCATTTTTAAATCTAGTTATCTTCAGTACAATCGTAGCTAAAAAAGAACTAGATATTTTATAGTTCAGAATTCAGAATTTTACCTTTTTTAATAACGCCGGTTAATCCAGAATATATATCAAGAATTTGCCTCTCAATTAATAGATTGTGGTGCATCTGTTATTATAAGTCGTCCTAGTTATCTCAACAAAGCTATCAAAACTGCAGACGCAACAAATATTCACGAATCCAAGATATTTTTATTTTGATGAAAAGCGAAATCACCTTATTCTCTAATCAAGAAATTAATTCAGTAGAATATACACTAGAAGAAGAAAAATCAACTACAGCATTGAAACCACACACTTTAAATAAATATAATTTATTTTTGTGTTTTTCGATTATACGCTTTACTAAATACATAATTTTCCGAATTTAGCCTTTCTTCCATATATACAGTATATGGATTGACACTTCTTATACACTTTGTTAATATTAAGGTATACAAAAAGCTTTGGCATCATTCCTTCTGTCGCGAACTACTTATTTATTTCTTCGATTTTTTTTTATTTTTTTTACAATTTCAAGGGTAATTCATGTGTTATTCTCGTAAATTCGAAATAGGAGCATTTTATCGCTCGTATAATTCGAGATTATGAAATAAATATAGCTCCAATCGTTCCTCCTCTAATTTTGTGGTCTATCAAGTTTAAAATAGGCTATAAGTGCTACTGCTCCTTTAAATAAGAAATTATGTACTAAGATCTTTTGAAATTTTTCAATTCAATTAAGTAAGCCTATGGTAAGTATTTTGAACTAATTTTATTTTATGATAGAAATATTCTTTTGCTTATTATTTTCTTTTTTTCTTTTAGGTTTAACTGAAACATCTCTATTTGTATTATGACGAAAACTGATAATATGACTTTTTGTTATTCGCAATAATCTATGAAACGCGTATTCCCCTAATTTAACTTTTTTTGTTAGGCTCGTAGAATGTAAGATAATTTCAAAAGATAAACAAATCTAAGTAAAAAAAAAAATTCGATTTATTAGTAGAACTTGGATATAATAGATCACAATGTTGTGTTACGTTATACCTATAATATAAAAAGGTTGTTTAATTTCGGAACTATACGGTATAAGGTAAACCGAAGCAATCTCTTAATCGGAAGTTCGGAACTATATGGTATAAGGTAAACCGAAACAATCTCTTTTAAGAGATGCTCTTCTAAAAACATAAATATAATAACAGCAAGTTTCTCCAGTTCGCTATAATTGGTAAATATTCCAACTGAATATCCGTTAGCATGTGTAATTCTCATTAGTCAAGAAGATTACTTGTTGGTGTTCATTTTATCGAAAAAACCCACTGGTAAAATATTAATATGATTATTAAGAGAAAGAACTAAAAATGAATGTATTTAAGAAATGTTTATTGTAAACAATATAAAGTGTTAAAAAAAATCTCATTCCTAATTTATATTTTAAATTCAATAGTGTTTCCTTTTTTTGTTAATTTTGATTGATTATTATTATATTTAAATCATTAATAACAATTACAGTAACAATCGGAGGACGAACTCCATTCCCATTCAATTTTCCAAGTCAAGGACTTATTTTAAATGATATTTGTTTGGAAATATTTCATGCAATATATCTACTATACCAATAGTAACATCGTTGTCGGACCAATTCCCGACATCTTTCCTAACAAATTCTGAATCGACATTAGTGTTTTACAAATAGATATACAAAATAAATTGAGCAAAAATAATCTATTTAGAAAATAATTGTTGACCATTTCATATTTTTTTGTAATAATTTTAAATATAAATTATTTAATATTTTAAATTAATAAATTTTTTTCATAAGATCATTAATTTATTTATTATATAAGAAAATTTATTTTTATTTTATTTTTTCGTAGTAAATTTATCATTTTTCATAATTTGATTTCGGGAAATTGTCATGTCGAGGTAATATCATGTCGGGAAAAGTTCTTTCGGGAAATCGTTGTCGGGAAAAGGTTACGTCGGGAATAAATGTTTCGAAAGTTCCATTTAATTCTTTTGTATTATTGTGATTACATTGTTTTGATGTATACGTAGATATGTACAATGTTCTTATTAAATTTATGCAAAAAGGAAAGATCTAGCTAATTTTATTTGTCAGAAGTTTTATACAAAAAAAAGGGTGTAATTCATACATCATTTTTTGATAGATGAATTTCTTTTATGGTAAAGAAGCCGACTTAAATTATACTTAAATTACTTAAATTATCGATTCTAAATATAGTAAAATTTAGTATATTTTAAAGAAATAGAATGTTGCGACATTATCATTCAAACACACATTGTACTACTTTGACAAATTTATTAAATCGTGATACTTAAAAAAATGTATGAATGGATTTAATTTGTCTAGTTATTTGTCTACTTTCATGAAAAGGGAGATTATTTGTTTGTGAATCAACAATATATTAATTAGTACATAATTGATAACAACAAGCCTAACCCAAATCTTCTATTTACGGTGCTGTTGTTACTATACACCATATGTACGTCTAGATTTTAATCTTATTAAAAGATTCATAATAGGAAAATTTTATAAAATCGATAGATAATCGTCAGTATCAATGAGTTTTATAGATGAAATTTTTATATAAATTGACCTCTTTTCGCAGGAATCAAACATACTTATAATTTATACATATACTAAAAATGATTTTCAGATCCAAGTTTTCTGATGTTGATATTAAAAAAATCGGAGTTTATCAATTTATTACTAGTAATCCTTATGGAATTGATGATGATAAAGCTATTTTTATTGATGGTAATACCGATAAAAAATTAACATTCGGTCAACTTAAAACTAATTCAAAGAAATTGGCATTTGGATTGATAAACAAAATCGGATTTAAACGTGGAGATGTTTTGGCAATATATTCTCCTAATCATGTAAGCGATACCTATTTGTGATATATATATAAAATAAATTATTAAAACAATTCTTTATAATATTTCTCTTTTCCTTTTTCTTTTTTAGATTGATTATCCAGTAGTTATCTTTGGTGCAATCGCAGCTGGTAAATAAAAGTTACAGAAAAAAGGTCTAGGTAATTTTTTTGTCTCGAATTTTTTAACTTTTTTTTTTTTTTTTTTTAGGAGGAATAGTAACGCCGGTTAATCCAGAATATACATCTGAAGAATTTGCCTTTCAATTAAAAGACAGTGGTGCATCTGTTATTATATGTCATCCTGATTATCTTGAAAAAGCTATCAAGGCCGCAAAAGTAGCAAATATTCCCGAATCCAAAATACTTTTATTTGATGAAAATGAAATCAATGATTTTCTACCTTTCTTATCCTTACTTTCTGATCAAGAAATTAATCCAGTAGAATATACACCGGAAGAAGTAAAATCAACTACTGCTTATTTATGTTATAGTTCCGGTACCACAGGAAAAAATAAAGGAGTTGAAACCACGCACTATAATATGGTTTCAAATTTAAGTCAACTCGATGTTTTTGAGGATCAAATAAATCATGAAAATGTTTATATAGGAACTCTCGTAAGTTATAACTAATTTTTGGGTTGGAACACGTACTTAATGTGCTTAACTAATTACATAATTTTTTCGAATTTAGCCTTCCTTCCATATATACGGATTGACCCTTTTTATACACTTTGTTATTCTTAAGGTATATAAAAATTTTGTCTTCATTCCTTCTGTCACGAGCTAATTTATTTTCTTCTCCCATTTTTTGGTTTATCGGTTTTTTATTTTTCATTGTAATTTCAAGGGAGCTTCATGTGTTCTCCTTCGTAAATTCGAATTGGAAAAATTTTGTCGTGCGATTCAAGATTATAAAGTAAATATAGCTCCAATCGTTCCCCCTATAGTTTTGCTCTTGGTTAATAATCCTATAGCGAGAAAGTATGATCTATCAAGTTTAAAATTGGCTATAAGTGCTGCTGCTCCTTTGAGTAAAGATTTATGTAAAAAATTTGTTGAAATTTATAAAGCTCCGATCAAACAAGCTTATGGTACGTATTTGAACTAATATTTTTTTACTCGAAATATTGTTTTGCTTATATTTTTATTATTTCTTTTAGGATTAACTGAAACAACTCCATTTGCAATCGTGACGAAAACTGATAACATTGTCGATGGTAAATTGAGTTGTCAGAGTTGTCATGTGACTTTTCGTTAACGAAACGCGTATTCCCTAAATTTCATCATCTTTTTTTTTAGGCTCAATTGGAATTCTTCTTCCAAACGTGGAATGTAAGATAATTTCAGAAAATAATAAAGGTAACTATTATTATTTACTATTTATAACAATAAATCTAAAGTAAAAAATAGGCTAAACAAATTCGATTTATTATAGAACTTGAATTTGATGAAAAAGGCGAATTTTATATTCGAGGTCCAAATGTTATGAAGGTAAATTTTTTTTATTGATGTTTAAAATCAATAAAATATATACGTTTAATTATACGATATATGCAATTATTTATATTCATATAGGGCTATCTTAATAATAAAGAAGCTACGGATGCGTGTATTGATAGTGATGGCTGGTTCCATACTGGAGATTTGGGATATGTTAATCCTCAAGGTATAATATATTTATCTAAAAAAAAAAAATAATTATAATTTTAAAATAAAATTTTATAAAAAAAACCGATTTGTCTTGTAGGAAACTTTTTTATTGTCGATCGCGTTAAAGAATTAATAAAATATAAGGTAAACTGAAAACGGATAATTAATTATCGATCTCTTTTAAGATGCTCTTCTAAAAAACTTATGACAAATATAGGGATTCCAGGTGGCTCCAGCTGAACTTGAATCAGTTTTGCTTACTCATCCATCAATTACTGATTGTGCTGTAATTGGTGTAAATTCTGATGAACAAGCAACGGAATATCCGTTAGCATATGTAGTATTAAAACAAAATGAAATTCAATCTGATGAGTTGAAAGAAGAAATTAAAGATTTTGTCTCTCAAAGAGTTGCTCCGCATAAAAAATTGCGTGGTGGTGTATGTTTTACCGATAAAATTCCTAAAAGTTCTGCTGGTAAAATTTTGAGAAGATCTTTAAGAGAAAGAGCTAGGAATGAACGTATTTAAGACATGTTTATTGTAACATTGTAAAGTGTGCTAAAATCTCGTTCCTAATAAAGTAATATTTTTTTATTCATTCATGATAAATTAAAATCATCAATAAAATGCTTTTACAGTTCCATCTACTACCAGTTCATTTTCCAAATTAGTGACACAGATCTCGGATTGGTTTTCTTTAGACAATGCTGATTCGCATACTGTATTTGCTTGGAAGTGTTTTACGTTATTGTCTACTGTACCAATAGTAACATGCATAATTTTATTCGTAGAACGAATCTCTGATGGAACAATTCTATCTACAACAAGAGCCATAATTTGTGAATCGAAAACTATCTTATTAATATGTACTTTCACTTGAGGAAGATCTTTACATATTTTTTCGTATTGTTCCCAGAGCTTCTTTTTTTTGTAGTCCGGTGGATCTATTTTTAATTCTTTAGAATGAATGAGCGTAACATGATGTTCAAAACCAATACGTTCCCCTTGAACCAATTTCTTGAAAATTCCAGAATCTTCGTTTGGATGTTTATTATAATAATCAGAGAGAAATTCTTGTACGTTAAAATCCAATTTTATTCCATAAAATGAAACTTTAGGCGGTTTATTGCCAACAATTTTACGGACTGTTGGTTTGTAATCACTTATCTCTTCTAAAACTTTTTCAATTTTATCTTCACTAGGTTTTTCAAACCCAAGAATCGGTTTTAATTCATTAATAACAGTTTCAAGGTTAGTTTTAACATCATTGGCAACATCTAATTCAATGACATGATCAAATTGGTTATCTATTTTGTTATTTGAATTCAAAGGTTGAAAGTCATTCAAAAATCTCCACATGACATTCTCATATTCTACATTTTTGGGAGTAAGAGACTGATGGTTTTCTCCCCGAGAAACTACGCGTTTAGACGTTATTTTGAAAATTTCATTCTTAGTTCGATCTTCATGATTCCAGTAAATAGCTACAATACGGACGTTTGATAAATTACTTTTCACTGCTTCTATCAAAGTCTTACGCAACTCTATTATATGATTATTCCTGAAATTATATATGAGATTCATTATATTAATAAACTCTTAAAATAAACAATAGTTTTACTCTTTTTACCTGTCTGCAAGTACACCACTGTGGCTGCTTAGGCTTTCGTTTATACTTCTGTAAAATTCAATTCGTGCTTTTTTTCCAATAATGTTATCATTTTGTATATGAGCAAATGAAAATAATTTTGCTAGTGCTAAAAAAAGGGTCGTTTTGCCTGTAAATAGATAATAAAAATGAATTACTCCTACATGACGAAAAAGATGACGAGTTAACAAAATACTTACCACACCCTATTGTACCAACCGGAACCAATAATGTTTTGATTTCTTCTTGTGGAATTTTTGCAAAGGTCTGGATATCACCTTTATTATTCAGATATTCCAAGAACATGTCTCTAACACGGAAAATTCCTTTATTTTTACCATACTCCTCAAAAAGTTTAGGATGCGTTTTGATCTTTTCTGTAACCCATTCTAGATATTGTTTACTCAGCGCATAAGTTGTTCTTGGTTTTTTCTTACTTAAAGCCGCTCTAGTAATTTCTCTCCATTCACGGTACATAAGGTATGGTTCATCATATTTGATTTTAAAGAAGAAATCTTGCCCTGTTGAAACAGTTTTAGTTCGGATAACAAATCCTTCAATTGGTCTATCATCTAGCACCCTTTTTTCTTTGATTACATTAATGAAACTTTTAACCTCGTCTACAGTTTGCTTTACATAATATTTAACTGGATTAAAACCCCATTCCTTTGCAAAATTTGTGACTATTTTACTTGGCCATGTTTTGAGATCGGCTGTATTAAGATTAATTCCGTGAAGATATAATCCATAACTATCTTGCGCATATGGAAGCACGTGCTCTTCAAATTGGTCGTCACATAACTATTGGTGATTTGGGCACGAGCAATAACGCATTTTTTTAATTCCCTCGTTAAAAAATATGTTTATCACAAGAAAATAAATAGAATTTACCTCCGCTACTGCAGTCGATCTGTTTTTGTATAAGAAATTTGCCAACTCTTCTTTAGTCCTACCTACTTTCTTCAAATGTTTATCAAGCCATTGTTCACCTACAACAGCATGAGCTAAAGCATTTTCTCTTTCACCCATTGAATGTTTACTTGTAACTACAATATAATCTCCCGGAAGTCCACTAATGAATATAATGCATCCATTTTCCTTGACCGTAACTTCATAAGGTCCTTTGGTTTGTGTAACAATTTCCTCCCACTAGAAATTTTAATTGGTTAATTTAGTGATCGTCTAATTTTGGTCGAAAATAACATATGAATCAACAAACCTTAGTTTCTGTTACTTCATCAATATTAAAGAACTTATCATAACCACGGATGACTATTTCATTTTTACTATTTGTTTCTCTTGTAAATAGTCCCCTAGCTTGTGTAGGAGTGCGATGTTTTTTGTAATCCCATTCGTTCATCTTCCACGAAGAAAGCGTGACCCCAGAGGATTTGTGAACAAATTCATTTCTTTTAACTTTTTTTCCCTTAGATTTATAAAGATTAGAAATTAGTTCGTCAGCTTCTGTTAAGTCTTTTTGAGTAACTGGATCTATTTGTATTGAGTCTTGGCTTGTGTCGGATTTTGTCGATTTTTTGATTTCATCAGACGCATTCTCGCCGTCTACATTTCTTGTGTCATTTTTATTTTTTGTTGAAATGCTATAAAAAATAGAAAACGATAATAAAGATTAAATCATATTTACCAATAAATACTTTTATCTCCTTTGAACAAACATATTTTACATCAAATAAAGTGTTATTTAGTTCTAACCTTGTAAATTTTCTGTAAAATATAAAAACAACTATAAAAATGAATAAAGTACTTAGATTCAAATCCATGACTATTGACAAAAATCCAGAGATTCAATTACGTAAAATATATGCTTTGAAACTATCCAAATTTAGTCGAGTTTATTTTAAAAGTTTATTTGCCAACATTGAATTCTACTACATTATATAGCTGCTCTCTAACTGCGGTTCTGCGGTTTGCGCAGAAATTTTTTTTAAAGAATCTACATCAGTTGATAATTGATTATATAATATGACATAATCAAAAATTTTTTTCATTTACCGCAGTTATAAATCACTTTTTCGGTTTTTTTTTTTTACATTTGATTACTTGGCCATTATGAGTGAAAAACATACCAGAATTGCCATTGTTAGTTCTGATAAATGCAAACCGAAAAAATGTAGACAGGAATGTAAAAAATCATGTCCTGTTGTTAGAATGGGTAAACATTTTATTTGTATTTTAAAGTCTTTTCCTTTTCTTTTTTTTTGATCTGTAAATATTTCACGGCACATTTATTTTCTCAACAGGTAAACTTTGCATTGAAGTTACTCCCGAGAGTAAAATTGCTTACATTTCTGAGGAACTGTGTATTGGTTGTGGTATTTGCATTAAGAAATGCCCATTCGGTGCTATTATGATTATTAACTTACCCACCAACCTTGAAAGACAAGTTACTCACCGTTACAATGCCAACTCTTTTAAACTTCATAAATTACCTGTTCCTAGACCTGGTCAAGTTCTAGGATTGGTTGGTACTAATGGTATTGGTAAAAGTACTGCACTGAAAATTTTGGCTGGGAAATTGAAACCAAATTTAGGAAAATTCAACGTGAGTGTTATATCGTATGTATTTAGGTTATTTGTTCGCGCATAGAATCTAATTGTGCAATAATTTACCTTGCATGATTTAAGGATCCCCCAGATTGGCAGGATATTCTAAAATACTTTCGAGGAAATGAATTGCAAAACTATTTTACAAAAATTTTAGAGGATAATTTGAAGGTAGTTTTAACTTATTCACTGGATTATGTTAATATTTCATCTGATCTTTTTTATTTATTCATTTTGGCATCAGGCAATAATCAAACCCCAGTACGTAGACCAAATTCCAAAAGCTGTTAATGGAATTGTTGAAACGTTGATAAATAATAAATCGGAAAAAAATAATAAAGATGATATGATCGATGTATTAGATCTAAAAGACGTTTTGGGACGCCAAGTAAAAGAGTTATCAGGTGGGGAGCTTCAACGTTTTGCTATTGCTGTTGTGTGTATCCAAAAAGCTGATATGTGAGTGTTAAATATTCATTTGGTATTAATTTATTGTGAACAATAAAAATATAGCTTTGTTAATTTATAACCTTGATTTAGCTACATGTTCGATGAGCCGTCATCGTATTTGGATGTCAAACAACGTTTGAATGCCGCTAAGGCAATAAGATCTTTATTAACGCCCGATTGGTAATTTATTTTATAATTGAAATGAGTAAAATTAAAAGATTCCCCTAATCTAATTAATTTACATTTAATTTTTTTAAGTTACGTCATTGTTGTAGAACATGACTTGTCAGTTTTGGATTATTTATCTGATTTCATTTGCGTGCTTTATGGTGTCCCCTCAGTGTATGGTGTTGTTACTATGCCTTTCTCAATTCGCGAAGGTATTAATATATTCTTGGATGGTAAGGTGCCAACAGAGAATCTGAGATTTCGTGAAGAATCTTTAACGTTTAAACTGGCAGAAACTGCCGAGGATGAAAAGGAAGTAGAAAAACATAGAAGATATAGATATCCAGATATGAAAAAAACATTAGGTAAAGTCAACATATCCTTATTTAAATAGATTCTTCCATTACTAATTATAATTATTGCATGATTAATAGGAAATTTTAAGTTAAGCGTTAAGGCTGGTGAATTCACGGATTCTGAAATTATTGTTATGCTTGGAGAAAATGGAACCGGTAAAACAACGTTCATCAGATTATTGGCTGGTGCAATTAAAGCTGATGGTGATGAACAAATTCCCGAGTTGAATGTTAGTTACAAACCACAAAAGATTTCACCAAAATACGTGGGAACAGTACGCAGTCTTCTGCATGATAAGATCAGAAATTCCTTCACACATGCACAATTTCAAACTGATGTTGTGAAGCCGATGCAAATTGAAAATATTATTGATCAAGAAGTAGCAACTTTATCTGGTGGTGAACTTCAACGTGTAGCAATTGTGCTGGCATTAGGGAAACCAGCGGACATATATTTGATTGATGAACCCTCCGCGTACTTGGATTCAGAACAACGTATTGTTGCAGCTAAAGTCATCAAAAGGTAAATATATTTCCATATATTCATGTTTAAAATTATCAATAATTTTTATTGGAATTATTTATATATCTATGTGCATTCCTTTATTTTAGATTCATTCTTCATAGCAAAAAAACAGCCTTTGTTGTAGAACATGACTTTATTATGGCTACTTATTTAGCAGATCGTGTTGTTTTGTATGAAGGAATGCCATCAGTAGAGGCTACAGCAACTACGTAAGTTTAGAGTATATTATTTTGATAAAAATTTATAAAATATGATAATAACCTTATCAATATTATTTAGTCCACAATCACTATTGTCGGGTATGAATAAGTTTCTCAAATCTCTCGAGATCACGTTTAGACGTGATCCAACCAATTTTAGGCCAAGAATAAATAAATTGAATTCCCAGAACGATCAAGAACAAAAGTCAAGTAAGTGAAAGATTTTAATCTTGTAATTAATATATTTAAGGAATGCATTGATGAATGTATTTATTTTTTCCAAAATTATAGGTGGTAATTATTTCTTTTTGGAAGTTGATTCTTAAAAATAAAATTTGTTATAATATCTTAGTATTTTACTATTTATAATTTATTATTTAAGTATTTTAGTGGATTAAAAAGTTATCTTCTTTATAGTTAGATAGATAGTTTCGAATCTGTAGATTTGAAATTAAAATTTTGATAATTAAAACATGAAAGTTTATTATATTGTTTTGTAGTAATATTTCACTATTTACCTATAATATTTCGTTTATATATAGAATTTATTAACAAAAAAAATAAATAAATTAAAATAATAAATAATAATTTAATCTCAAGTTAATAATGTATGCTAACACTAACTAACGACTGCTTTATCTGATATGGGATTTGGCCTAAATTCATAAGCGCGAATAATAAAATATTGTGAGTTTGTTCTACTTCTCTTTCTTTAATGAACAAATAGACATCTCTCATCTTTTCATCGCCCTTTTTTATAACGCCTTTCAATAATTTAACTAATTTAAAACCACATCTTTTTAGTACGTTATGACTTTGCTCATTATTCACAAAAGTCATACCAATAATATAATCTAAATGTAATTCTTTAAAGGCAATCTCATTACAAATAAAATTTGCAGCAGTACTAACGATACCTAAACCTCTGTATTCTGAAGAAATATAATATCCAATTTCATACGATTCATTAAATAACTTTTTATCTTGATCATCTTCGATAATATATTTTTCTTTTATTTAAAGTAATCCAATACATCCAATAAATTCATCATTTGAATTACGAATCGCCCATTTATTACATTGTAATGTTTTTGTATATTCTACTATGCATTTATTAACAAACCGTTCCGCGTGTAAGGATTTGGCAATGTAAAAGTATTTTCATGAATATCAATTGAATTTATATTTGTTGGTCCAAGTAATGAAACAATTTGTGGTATATCCGTTAATTTTGAAGCGGATAAATGAATTTCTCGGTTGCTTTTTTGGGAATGTTTAATTCAAATGGTCCTTTTGATTTAATATTTAATGCAAGAGAATTCATAATGAGAAAATATTTTAAAATTTTTGAACACAATAAAAAGGAAACGATTTCTTCATTAACGTGAGAAATGCTGGATCGTAATGATCATTGATTGTTCATTTAGTAATATCTACAGCAAATTCTTTATTATTGTGGTATAACAGACAATAATTTATTCAAAAAAGGGTTAGTAATTTTATAAAATATGATTATTAGTCTCTCGAGATCACGTTTAGATGTGATCCAACCAATTTTAGATTCCCAGCTATGCTAAACTTAAAAAGTACAATCTCTATATATCGAAATTTTTTTTTGCTATATTGGTTCAGTTTATCAAATTTCATTGTGTAATCACAATTTGTCGTCCCTCTCTTTTTGGAAGGGTAATTTAAAAAGTTATCTTTATGGTTAGATAGTTTCGAATCTGTAATTTTGAAATTAAAATTTTGATAATTAAAACATGAAAATTTATTATATTGTTTGGTAGTAATATTTCACTATTTACCTATAATATTTATTTCTTTTATATATAGAATTTATTAAAAAATAAATAAATTAAAATAATAAATAATAATTTAATCTCAAGTTAATAATGTATGCTAAATACTAACTAACGACTGCTTTGTCTGATGTGAGATTTGGCCTAAATTCATAAGCGCGAATTATAAAATATTATGAATTTGTTCTACTTCTCTTTCTTTAATGAACCAATAGACATCTCTCATCTCATCGCCCTTTTTTAAAGCGTCTTTCAATAATTTAACAAATTTAAAACCACATCTTTTTAGTACGTTATGACTTTGCTCATTATTCGCAAAAGCCATACCAATAATATAATTTAAATGCAATTCTTTAAAAGCAATCTCATTACAAATAAAATTTGCAGCAGCACTAACGATACCTAAACCTCTGTATTCTGAAGAAATATAATATCCAATTTCATACGATTCATTAAATAACTTTTTATCTTGATCATCGTCGACAGCATATTTTTCTTTTAATATTTCATGTAATCCAATACATCCAATAAATTCTTCATTTGAATTACGAATCGCCCATATATTACATTGTAATGTTTTTGTATATTCTACTATGCATTTATTAACAAACCATTCTGCGTCTGATAATGTATAAGGATTTGGCAATGAAGAAGTATTTTTATGAATATCAATTGAATTTATATTTGTTGGTCCAAGCAATGAAACAATTTGTGGTATATCCGTTAATTTTAAAGCGGATAAATGAAATTTATCGGTTGCTTTTTTGGGAAGGTTTAATTCAAATGGTCCTTTTGATTTAATATTTAATGCCAGAGAATTCATAATGAGAAAATATTTAATGAGAAAATATTTAAAATATTTCAAGATTCGCTGGATTCACTGTTAAGAAAATGAATTAAATCATACGATAAAACGATATAACCGATATTTATAAATTTTTGAACACTATATAGTCATGTTAGTCATAATTACAAATAAATTCCTTGGTATGATATAAAAAAGGAAACGATTTCTTCATTAACGTGAGAAATGCTGACTCATAATGATCATTGATTGAACAAGGCCATCAGTAATATCTACATAAATAAATTTAAAATACAATTGTTAGTAATGCCCATTCTTTAAATTATTTTTATTAAAGTCAAAAAAAAAAGGTTAGTAATTTTATAAAATATGATTGTTAGTCGATCACTTTTAAATGTGATCCAACCAACTTTAGATCCTAATATTAGCTTGGATCTTCAAAGGTTTACTATTTATAATTTATTAAGTATTTTGGTGGATTAAAAGTTATCTTCTTTTATGGTTCGAATTATTTATTTTACATTAAACGAAGATTTGTTAATACTATTAATCAGTGTTCGGAAATGACCTGGTCATTTGACCATTTAAATGATTTATGAAATCATTTGTCATTATTCATAATCATTTGTCATTTGGTCATTTCAATCATTTGATTTTGATTGGCTAATATTTATCACATAAATAATCATGTGACTATAATTAAAAAATAATGAATGTAGTGTAGGCAAAAATCATAATGCTGGCCAAAATTACATTCAAATGACCAAGATCATTTGTCATTTGAGCATTGAAATGACATGTCATTTGTCATTTATCATTTGAATCATTTGGTCATTTCAAGTACACTGATTTGATAGTAATATTTATAATTCTTTTACAACAGAATTTTTTTTTTTAAAAAAAGTAATAAATAATAATTTATTCGCGAGTTAATAATGGCTAACTAGTGTATTTTACAAGTGCGAATTATTGAATTTGACCTACTTCCCTTTCTTTAATGAACCAATAGACGTCTCTCATTTCACCACTTTTTTTAAAGGCATTTTTTAATAATTTAACTAATTTAAAGCCACTTCGTTCTAGTACATTATGACTTCGTTCATTATCCACAAAAGTAATACCAACGACATAATTTAAATGTAATTCTTTAAAGGCAATCTCATTACAAACAAGATTTACAGCAGAACTAACAATACCTAAACCTCTATATTCTAAAGAAATATAATACCCAATTCCATACGAATCATTAAAAAATTTTTTATCTTGATCATCTTCGATAACATATTTTTCATTTGTTTGATATAATCCGACATAACCGATAAATTCTTCATTTGAATTACGAATTGCCCACATATTACATCGCAATGTTTTTGTATATTCTACTATGCATTTATTAACAAACCGTTCCGCATCCGATAATGTATAAGGATATGGCAATGAAGCAGTATTTTTATGAATATCAATTGAATTTATATTTGTTGGTCTAAGCAATGAAAAAATTTGCGGTATATCCGTCAATATTAAAGCGGATAAATGAAATTTTTCAGTTGTTTTTTTGGGAAGATTTAATTCAAATGGTCCTTTTGATTTAATATTCAATGTCGGAGAATTCATAGAAAATATTTTTATGATACGATAAAACGATGTACGGTTCACCCTTTATACTATAATGAATTTTTATATAATGAATAATGCCTGATACAGATTTTTTTATAAACAATTATTTTTGATATAATAGCCCTTAGTATAGTGAAGATCTTCAATTTTAAGTTGCACAGATCATTAATGAATTTTTATCACATGATACATGACCAAAATGTACTAATTTTTAAAAAATAGATGCAAATCATAATAAATTTTGATATCTTATTCTCTATATGCTAGTGAATTCCTTCACCATAATCTCCAGCCTGTGGGATTCGGGGTTAGTGGTACTGCCACTATTTTATCATCGAACTCAATCTGCTCATTACAGACAAAATACATATAATTTGAAATTTTATAGATTTTAATTTAGTAACAGAATTTTGTTAAAATTACGCGATTTTATGACAGCAGATTAAGACGTGATCTATGCCGCTTTACATTTTACAAGCGCAATTTATAAAATATTATTGAATTTGATCTACTTCCCTTTCTTTAACGAATCATCGCCCTTTTTTAAAGCGTTTTTTAATAATTTAACAAATTTAAAACCACTTCTTTTTAGTACATTATGACTTTGTTCATTATTTACAAAGCCATACTACCAAAGACGTGATTTAAATGTAATTCTTTAAAGGCAATCTCATTACAAACAACATTTATAGCAGAACTAACGATACCTAAACTGAAGAAATATAATAGCCAATTCATACGATTCATTAAATAGCTTTTTATCTTGATCAACTTCGATAATATATTTTTCTTTTTCTTTTATTTGATGTAATCCAATATACCCAATAAATTCTTCACTTGAATTACGAATTGCCCACATATTACATCGCAATGTTTTTTCTTATTCTATTATACATTTATTAACAAACCGTTCTGCATCTGATAATGTATAAGGATTTGGCAATATATCAATTGAATTTATATTTGTCGGTTCAAGTAATGAAACAATTTATGGTTATCGGTTAATTTAAAGCGGATAAATGAAATTTTTCAGTTTTTTTTTTTTTTTGAAGGTTGGACTTTTTGATTTGATGTTTAATTTCGGAGGACTCATAATAAGAAATATTTTGAAACCGGTATAGGCTAAATTTTAATTTTGAGCCGGGATTTTTTTGGAGCCTGATCAGTCTTTTGCAAGTTCTATTAATCTATTTTGTACTCTTATTAAAATTAAAAAATTTACCAGAAAATCGATTATTCAAGAGTTTAAAAGCTCATTCATAGGAGTCTCTGCAAGAAAATAACGATCGAAAATCATACTTGCAATAAATTACATCCTTAATTTTGCCTGAAATCGAATTATTATGTTATCGTTAACGATTAATACTTCCTTTAAATATTAAAGCTTCCTAAAAAAAAATTACTTAAATAAAAAAAAATTTTATTATGTGTGTCATTTACGCTGGAGAGAAATATGATTTTAAGGAATCCATACACATTCAGGAAGAAACAAAAATAAAATTAATAGATAAAATAAATAAAATAAATATTCATTAAAAAAAAAATATATTCATTAAAATAGGTTTGTTCGGGCGAAAAAAACCGGCGTTCAAGGGAAATTGTCCGTCATATATTTTGATAATTTAAAATAAAAATAGTTTTTTTTGCTACATATAAAAAATTGAAGTTTTGGATTGTAATTTAGTTGCTTTTTAGTATCGTTATTTAGAAAAGAAACCCTTGTATAAAAGTTGAGATTTTTTTCGCAGGGATCATATAAGATTAGATCACGTGAAGAATGCTGAGTCATATCATCTGCAGATTAAAGAAATTTTTTTTTTTTTCTTATTTTTGATGTGGTTCGACCTAACTTTTTAGTCTCTTTAAAATGACGTATGTGAATACTGTCTTTACGGAAGGTCCTTTGGAGGCTCAGGTGCGTTGAGTGTTGAAGAAATGATTTAAGTTTCAACTTTGGGAAAGATTTTTTATTAAACAGAATTTATGAAATTACAAATTTAAATTTATTGCTATTTTTTATATATATATATATATATTGTGGCTTATAATGTTATCACAAGAAATAATAAATATCATATTATAATTATAGAACATCTACAAACATTTTTATCATAGGCATCGGAGTTTGCTTCTTATGTCTCCAAATTAAAAGGTGAACCAGAAGAAAAAGGACCTTTTATTATAGAGACGAGAAATCTATTAAAAGATAAAAAGTTCGAGCAAGTCTTTCAGTTATTCGCTAAATCTACATCAGTATTACTTGAAGCACCGGAAAAGGGTACTTCTTAATAATTTAAATTTAATGATCTGTTAATTTTTTATACTAAATCTTACGCTTGTTTAAAATTTAGAATTTGAAGCTATATTTAATCTTCTGATTGCCATTTTAAAGTCTGCATCACCTGATACTCACCCAACTTTAATAAAATCATCAATTGAATCGTTGGTGGTAAATCAAAATGATAAAGCTATTCAAAAACTTAAAGTGTTGGTTATTAAACGATTTTTTAATTTTATAAGTAAAAATTATAATTATAAATTTTTCTAAGCTTTTTTTTTATATTTTAATATAGTCTTCAAAATCTATATAATACTCTGGAATATGCCTCACCACTCAGATATGATGTGTTTCTTACAATTCTTGATATTGCAGCCAAAAATGATGAAATTGATACTTTGTTACTACAACTGTCACGTCTAGACACTTGGGTAAAGGAATGGGCAATTTCAACAAATCAAATACGGGAATTGTATATGACTGTTTCGAATAGACTGAAGGAAGCAGGAGAACTGTATGTTATAATGCGATTTACTTAATATAGCTCTTATTTTTTTCTTTTCATGATCTGATTGATATTAAATAATTATTAAAAATATTGGAAATGCATAGCAAACTATCCCACGACTTCCTATTAAAACATCTCGCCACCTACTCTTCTTCCGATGACCTTTCTACAGCTAAACCTGCAGTAATTCGTGCAGTCACTGAAGCTATTCAATTACCCGAAATTTTAAGTTTTGAAGATATACTCGAATTACATGTAGCCATACAATGCTTGAAAAGTGAGGAAAAACTTTTTGATCTACTAAAAGTTTTCTTGAATGGGAACTTAAAAGAATATAAGGCATATGTTGATAAAAATCCAGATGATGTTGAAAAATTTGGTAAATATAATGGAATTCACAAAGAATAAAGTTAACGTCATGAGTTCACTAACCAATATTTCGTATAATTAGGACTTTCTATTGAAGACAATACACGTAAGATTAGGTTATTAACGTTAGCTTCTCTAGCGTCAGAGAACGTTTCTCGCGAAATTTCTTATGAAACTATAGCAAAGGCATTAGAAATTGAAGAATCTGAGGTTGAAATGTGGACAATCGACGGTAACCTATTAAATATTATTTATATAATTTTTAATGCTGATATATGTAGGAAAGCTAACAATTTTTTCTAATGTTAGTTATTCGTGCTAATTTAATTGAAGCAAAAATTAACCAAGTCAAGAAGACAATTCTTGTAAATAGATCTACATATCGAACATTTACAATGGAACAATGGAAACAGTTATCTGCTAAGCTTGAAGGTTGGAAAAAATCTCTTGTGGATATTTTACAGGTCATTGCTAACGCAAAATTAATTGCTCAACATTCCAATTTAAATGTAAATAACGCTGCCAGTTCAGCTGTTGTAGTTGTCGATGGTGTCAATGGTCAAGAGGAAGTTTCTGGGAGTTAGTCAAAGTATTGTTTCAAAAAAGAAACAAAAAAAGATTTAAAAAATAAAAAAAAAAATAAACAAATAAATTATTGGTGGAATAATTGTATCTTAATAATAATTTAGTAATAAAAAACTTTTCAGATATTATTCCAATTTTAATAGGAAAAATATTATTTATTTATTTTTATTTTATTTTATTTTATTTTTATTTATTTTTCTTTTTTATAAAAAAGAAAGAGGACACGTCATTTAAAATCATTTAATAATAAATTAATTATGATACACCAATAACTTAATTTATTAAGCTTATTTTTTATACTATACACAATAATATTACAAAATAAATAAATAAACAAACAACAAAAACGAAAACCAGTATCATTTTTATTAATTATATAAATTGTCCATTATCGAGGGCCAACGCTTCCATCATTACTGTCAGAATAATTATTAAACCCAGGATATATTGATGATAATTCTTCCATAACCTGGTTATGAGAAGCTGAAACACCCGAATTAGTTGGATTAACATTATCAAATAAGATATCATCCATATAAAAAGGTTCCCACTGATTACCGGATTGTGGTGAAATCTGGTGATGATTATTATCATTTTGATTACTTGCATCAAATGATGATAGATGATTAAATTGTTGATGTAATGAAGTAACTACTGCTCCTGGTGATGATGTAGGTGATGCACTAAAGGTTGATGCCATCATGAATTGTTGGTGTATTTGTTGGTTTTGTAATTGGGAACGTGGCAATTGTACATTTGATTGTTGTTGTAGATGTGGTGTATTTGAATTTTTGTTAATTGTATTAGCCACAGTTGTCGGAGAATTAGTCTCAGTATCTGAAATAATACCTAATCCATCACCACTAGTACTATTCTTAATAGTATTTCCGAAATTATCATCAGAATATTTACTTGTCGTTGATGTATTGGAAGTTGTGTTATTATCATTACTACCATTATTAACACTCGTTATTGAGGATGGTTTCTGTGTATTCTGTAAATTATTATTGTTATTTTGTTCCAACATTTGTATAACTAATGGAAGTGGAATTGAAAGATGGTTGCCGCCAGAACTTCCATTAGTAATCATCATAATACCTTCCAATTCTTTTAACATTTCTTTAAGAAAACCAATATTAGCATTTTCGGCGGCCCCTCTTAATTCTTCTATAGTATCATTTAAAGCCTTCTTTGCATCTTGGGCATGATCAGCAGATCCATTCATTATAACCATTTCCATCATAGCAGATTGTAATATTCCATAAACAGGATATTGGAAATTACAAAGTGCTTTTTTATCAAAATGCCTTGTTGTCTTTGCAATATCAGTAATTGTAGTTGCAGCAGTAAGACAAGTTTTAATTGGACCTTGATTTGCCTCAATTTTTGGATTATTATAAGCTTGTGCCAAATAAGGTTGATGTAATAAAATAATACAAGTATGAAATAAAATATTAATATATCCAGCATAAACTGAAAATCTAGCTAATTGAAATAAACTTCTAAGATCAGTATTTGGTAAATATTGATATTGTAATTCATCAGGTAATTCTTTTAACCATTTGGCCAATGCAGCTCTTATTTGTCTTAACATACTCTTTTGATCCATTGCATGATCCACCCAAGTTGATTCTGCTGCTTTTGGTTGTGAAGAATAACCAAACCTCCATATTTGTCCAAGTATTCGTGATAATTTAACAAAAGCTATAAAGAAATTTCGGGCAGGTCGTTCAAATGATGGTAATGTTGGTAATGGAACATTTACATTTATATCATCTATTGCATATGGTTTACCAAATATAAATGAAAGCCATCTGTCACAACAATAAATGCAATAAAACACTCTACGTCTTTCTTCATCCTCCTCGGGAAGCAAGTTATTAGAATCACTACGTTCAAGATGCAACGCATGTGCCATTTGAACTTTTTTTTTTTAAAAAAAAAAAAAAGAATTACATACATTATTAGCATACGTTTAATCGTAACGTGTTGTCAAGATATATATAAATAGTTTAACTCTTACCAGCCATGCCTAAAAACATATATGTACTATCTAAACGTGATACAGTATTTTCCGCATGAGTAAGTAGTAATAATGCTTGTACTGTTTCCAATCGAGGTGTATCATACAATGTATCCAATAATTTCTAAAAAAAAAAGAAGAAGCGTGTATTTAATATAAATGAAACATGATAAATTATGAGTTACATCCTAAAAAAAAAAAAAAAATTTTTTTTTACCTTTGCACTATCAAAGAAAACGCCACCAGGTTTATCAGGAGTTTTCTGAATGGAAGGATCATCAGAATATCTTGCAGCAGCCAAAGCTAAAGTAGCGGTTACTAACAATTGAGAATGTTTTGTATTCTCATTACGCCAATGATCAATAAACTTTCGACGATCCAATATTGGAATCGTAACGTTAAATTGAGTAAAATATTCATGTATCAAATGCTGACATAATTCTTTAGATGGAGGAGGAATAGAAGCTTTAGGTGAAGGAGTAACATCAGGTGTTGAAGAAACATTACTTGTTGTTGAATTAATATTAGTAGGGGAAGAATTGGCAGATAAATCGAAGGGATTAATAGATATTTTTGAAAGTTTATCGACTAATTCAACCACACTACTTGGAAAAGTATGGTTTAATATTAGACTCAAAGGAGATGTAACTTGATTTGATTCATTACGAGTTGACTCGGTAAGAATCGGAATATCTAATACAATCGAATTTGATTTATTAGTTGAATCATCTTTTTGTGAGAGTGTATCATTAGAAATATTGGAAGAATCAGAAGTTGAAATAGCGGAAATTGTAGATTTAATAATATCTGCAAATACATCTTTTGCATATTGACTTTTATTTGGGACTACAGTTTCAACTAAGAATTCGAATCCCTTTTTAAGACGTTGAATCTCTTGATTTGTTAAAATTAATTCAGATTCTTGTTGAGGAGATGTAATTTTTTGTTGTTGTTGTTGTTGTTGCTGCTGCTGCTGTTGTTGTTGTTGTTGAACTTGTGAAGATGGAATGAAATCACCAGGGATTAATTGATGCTGATGTTGTTGATGTTGTTGATGCTGATGCTGATTTTGATGAAACATTTGTCGTAATGGTGTATGTTGATTTGTGAATTGTGATTGTTGAAGATTAGGAAGATTTTGTTGTGATTGTTGATTTTGTTGATTTGGTTTTGGTTCTAATTCAGATAAGCGCGTTCGCTTACTTGGAACAGTTGAAGATATCATTAATTTAAATTTCTAAGTCTAAAATAAGAGGGAAAAAAATGTAGTTGTAAAAAAATAATAGGGTGAAATGAATAAATAAAACAATAAAAAAATGGAATAAAAATGAATAAATATATATATAATAAATAATAAGGTTTAAAGAAAAAATTTTGAGGATTTATTTTATTTTTATTTGAATATTCAAATGAAAAAAAAGTAATATTTTTAAAATAACGGAAGAAATTTTTTTTAAAAAAATAAAAATTTTTTTTTTTTTAAAAGGGGGGTTTTTTTAATAAACACAATGTGCAACTTTGCTGCAAACATGGGTTAGTTTATTAAAAGCTTGTGTATTAAAAAAGTTTAGTTCAAACCTTTTTTTGAGCAAATGAATTATTTTTTTGATAATGATCATAGTAGATACAATTGATTGTTCTATGCATAAACGATCAAAGAAAAAAAAAAAAATAAATTAAAATGATTTTAGTGGTTGTTCCATTTAAAGTAGTGTAATGTAAGGAGAGGGGTAGGGAATAAACCACAGACCTTAATTTTCAGTATAAGGTAACTCAAAAGTAACAAAAGTAATAAATTCAATTGCCAAGAGATCGGGAATAAATATTTTAATCTTATTATATTGTATAAAAATGTTTGTTTTCTCAAGCATTCCCAGCAGGACAGCAGGACAACATCTAAGCGCATTATATAATGGATACTATTTATGGTTTGGTCTTATGTTACATTTATTTATTTTTATTTTTACAAGAAATGATTCGTTAACATTATTTTTAATTTTTCCCAAGATGGTAAATTCATGATTTTCTTGGCAAGGGCCATTCCACCTTATTAACTTTTGCATTTTAAGTACATGATATTAAAATATAGCGTGGGAGTTACATAAAATATTCCCTGAATTATCAAAGATTTTTTTTTTTTTATGTATTTTGCGAAAATAAGCAAGAAAAAGTGAAAATTGAATTAAATTAATGAATTAAGAACGATGTAAATTAGATTTTCAATGCTTATTATTTTTTTTTTGCTCTACAGAAGAAAAAAAAAAAAAAAAAAAAAAAAAAAAAAAAAAAAAAAAAAAATAAAGAATGGGGAATAAACATAAACAAGATGATTTGACCAATAATTTATTTTTAAGAAAATGACACGAGATGTATGACGAATAATACATATACATAAAGTGGCGTGAGTTTTTCCTCTGTTACATATTTCGGTGGTTTCCGAATTTTCTTTTTTAAGAAAGATGCCAAGGCTATGTTACAATAAATATACTTTCCAATTTCTAAATTTTTTTTACGTTTGCATATCGATTTTATCGATTTACTATATACACATATAAATAAATAAATACTAAATAAAATTATTTATCTGATATATTAATTCGGAAAATAATAATAACGCACGGAGTTTTATATCCCCAAATTTTATATGAATTCATATATTAAAGTGTGACCTAACTTGAAACTTGAAAATTTAATTTTAAACGCTATTGGCTTCCTATATTAACTTTAGCCTGGGAATTGATATTGAAACAGGATTATGTTGTGTTATGATATCTTTTATGAAAATCATATGATATCGGATTGCTTTTTACAGTTATTTCAATAACTTTTTTAACTCCGCATAGCCGAAATGTTCTAATGTCACGTGATATATTATCATCTGCTGTGCTCTTTTTTAAACAATGAATATTTTTTTTCTTTTTCTTCATCTAAACCAGTCCTCGTATTGGTTCTTCTTTTGCATTTAAAACTGCATTCAAACCGCTTATTATAATTGAAAGATATTAAGTTAAAGTCTAGAATATTAAAATGCCCCTTTTTCCAGAATATTTTAATACATTTTACTGCGACCAATCAGTCCAATGTTGATTCAACTTTTGTATTATTTTAGTATAGTATTATTTATTTTTCATTTGTAAGAGCGCGTCAAATTTTTTTTTTTTTAAAAAAAAATATATAACTTTTTAATGTTTCACTATATAGATAAACATTATACATTTGTAAAATGAAAAAGCAATAATTATAGTTAAAGTATGAACACTATACAAGTAATTATTTCTATGATTTTCATCTCTATCATTAATCTTTTAAAAATAATCTAATTGGATTTATAATTCAAAAATTCCAATTTAAACAATAAATAAATAACTTTGATATAAAATATTTCTTTACAAAATATCTTCAAGTGAAATACTTTCAATAAAACCAGTTTTTGGTCAAAAGAAAAATAAAACTCAAGTTACTATTTTACTTAGTGTTAATACAGTATAATAAACTGTAAAGATAATTAGCAATTTGAAATGTTTAAACTCTTTTTCAAAAGTAAATTTAAAGTGTCACCTTAAAGCAATTTTAAGGTATTAAATTAGTTTTTAAAGAAATTTTTTATAAAATAAATGACAGATAATTATTTTAAAATGTAAACTAAAAAGTTTTTATTATTTCATTAATCTTAAAAATTGATTAAATAATAAAATAAAAAATAAATAAATAAAAATAAAATAAATAAATAAATAAATTTGTAAAAATAAATAAATAAATAAAGAAGCTTAATTTTTTTTTTTAATATATTAATTAAAAAGGATCTAAATATATATGAAATTAAGTTATAATTTGACTTTATTAATAAAAAAAGTTAAATAAAAATCAGTCTTTTGCAATTATTTTATCATTATTCATTCAGATTCAATTTAAATGATTTTAGTTATTAATGAATTTTATAAAATAAAAAAAAAAATTTATTCAAATCTGATTATTATTAGATTAAAAATAATCACAAAAAACTAAAAGTAAAAGTATCAATTTTAGTGTTAAATAATCCTTAAATATAATATCTTTTTTTTTTTTTTATCTTTTAATAAAAAAAAATTGTAAATCAAATATATATTTTTTTTATTTATTTAATTTTATTATATTATCTAGAAGTTTTTATAAATTTATTAAATCGGTTTAAATTTTATTACTTTTGTGTTATATTTTTTATTATTACTCTTTTAAATTTTAATAAAAGTTGTATTAGAATTTTTGCTTTATACAGAAATTTATTTTTCATTTTTTTTTGCAGTTATTTTTTTCTACAAAATAGCAAAAATATTATACACCAATTAGATACAATTCTTAATTAGTGTTCTTTTATTATTATAATATTTTAATATTTTCTTAACTTTCTTGCTATCCAAAAATTAAATTGAAATAATATAAAATTACTACCATTGGATTCCTCTTAACTATATAATTTGAATGGTGGTCTTAAAATTCCTGTGTAATATCTGTGCAATATGATAATTCAAGTATAATACAGTAGTAAGTATGATAAATTTTTATGTTATATAAAAATAATCATTTTCAAAAATAATATAAAAGCTCAATAATATAATAAAAGACTACTTTACAGAAACCTTAAATTTTTGAACAATACCGAATTGATATAGTAATAATGTTAAATATATATCGTAATGATATCGATTTGCAAATGATATCATTATGATATCGCAATGATATCATTTCAATATTAATTCAATATATCGACATGATGTCGTAAAGATATTTGTTTTGAAAAAATATCAGATCGATATCATTTCGATATTGTTATAACAACAATGAATTTTTTGAAAAATGGGAATATTAATATGATATCGTTCTAATATTAATTCAATATTAATATGATATCGTAAAGATATCACTTTATAATTATCTAATCGATATTGACAAATAACGAAACGATATCATTTTGATATTGTTATAACAATAATGATTTTTTTTTAATAAATGCAATATCAATATAATATTATTTTAATATTAATTCAGTATCAAAATAATATCAAAATGATATTATCTATAAAAATATCAAATCAATCAAATATCGTTAAATTCAATTTTATAATATTTTAATAATTTGTAATCTAATTTAAAAGTTAATTTCAATAGATTTAAGTTACCAGTTATTTATTACAATAACAATTTTAATTACAGATAAAGTATACATTAGTTTAAATATTATATAACAGATAAAAAAAATATCAATAAATCTCACAGGTCAAAAAACGATCTATCTCACACATATCGGGTACCTATATATCGGTGACTAATTAGGTACATATCGGGCATTTTTACATATTAACAAAATATCGGGTACCCAATTTGTCACATAATGCGCAAATTTCAAATATGGTTAAAAAAATGTAAATTACCAAGTGTCCGATATCCAAACTATTAGTCACCGATCCGTTATCTAATATATATCGGTCACCGATATTTGTACGATCTTTAAAAAAATTTGTGTGTTTATTTAATATTATCGTAGTATAGAAAACAGCTACTGATTTCTGTCTATTTGGTATTGGCTTTGTACGCTTTGTACTTTGTAAAAATGTAATACAGTGTACGAAAAAAGATAATTGCTATGGAGTGCTTGATCCAAGTATCATTTATCTTCACAACTTCATACGGAGTTTTTCCAAATCATGAATACTTATAAATAGATGATGTTTATTTACTTTTTTAGGAAATATTGAATGATAAGATTATTATATAAGCCAACTCTCAGTGATCATAGTAATACAAGAGTGCGGCCAGAGAATACCTAAACTTCAAACCCGTTATCAAAAGCATATACAAATTATTCAAATTACCGCGATTTTCTGAAATCCACTTATTGTAATTAAATTTCTCAT